CTCTAAAATATGCAACTACCTATGTTTTGGTGAAGAGGCAGATCAACAGAAAAACATACAACTCAAGGGTATGAATTAAAAAGGTTAATGACCAAAGGGAAAATGAATGAATAAACAATAAAGCTATAAATAAAGAGAAGCAAAAGACAGACCCATAGGAAGACAAGCACGGGGCTACAAGGACAAACAATGTAACACATACTAACAATAAAAGCCAAAGTAAGATATCACTAGGTATTGTAATTTAACTCCTTATGTATGCTGAATTATATATGTATGGAGGTGATTACTAATCCCCTTTACATATTACAATTGGTGTAATCAATGTTCCTTAATTTCATTCTACACACCTCCATGGAATCTCCCCCAAAATCAGAACATTAATGAACGTTAGAACTTCTGCAGGAAGTCATAAATGTGTTTGTTGATCTTGTCTGGTATTTCTTGAGTGATGAAGTGAGCTGCACCTTCAATCACCACAACTTCCTCCAACTGAGGTACATTTTTCTTAAATCCACCACCATTTATGTATTCCTTATTATACACCAAATCTAACTCCCCAACAACATACTTTACTGGAACACTTACCTTAGCATCTGTCCATGGTGCTTCCAGTTCCCAGTCTCTACAAGTAAGATAATCAAGATTTCAAATTCCAGGAACAAATGAAGGGTAATCCCTGATTTGAATTCTCAAAGAATTATAAAGGAACTAACAGGTCAGCGCAACGATAGTAGTTTAGTCCTCCTGTAAAGCCAGTTTGCTCGAATTTTTTGGTGTAATAATCAACATCATCTTCAGATAGCCATGATGGCAAGATGACAGGAGTATCATACAAAGCTCCAAAGGGCTTATCTTTAGGGAAATAAAAAGGATCACGATCCCTGTATGTCAAGAATTTCTCAATAACTTTCTTGGTTCCATAACTAGCAAACACAGCTTCCATTTCCCCTGGTTCCTGCAACAAAGTTAAAAACGAGAGTCAAAAAGATTGAGCCCAAAGAGATGAAAATAAGACATGAAAGCTATTTCAAAGATTCAACGCCTACATACACTAAGTTATGGTTCTTGACATTTGGGTAAGAGTCTTTAATCCGTAACAGCAGAAGCGATAAATCAGCATAGCTCAAATTAATAGGGTTGACAGCATTTTCCCATCAAAACCAAGTGAAACGAAGAACAAATGTCACCTGAAATCTGCACATGTAGTGATCATCTCCGTACGCAGCACGAACATTCTCTAAAATTTTCCGTTTAGGGTTTCTTGGGGTAAAGTGAACGCTCAAATTGATCAAGGCTTTAACTTTGTCAGGTCTAAACAAACACAGGCGCCAAGCAATCAAGGCGCCCCAGTCATGCCCGACAACAAACACCTTATCGGCACCAAGAGAATCGATGAGTGCGACCATGTCGCCGGCAACGTGAAGTGTAGTGAACTTGGTAGGATCGCCGATAGGTGCACCGGTGGTGTCTCCGTAACCACGGAGGTCCGGGGCGACTGCTCGGTACCCATGGGCGGCGAGGTAGATGATCTGGTGGCGCCAGGAGTACCAGAGCTCAGGGAAACCGTGGATTAGTAGTACAATTGGGCCTTGACCCATCTCTGCAACGTGCATATTGATACCGTTGACGCCGATCATCTTGTGCTCTATCCCTTCCATCTTCGTCTCTGTTGATTTGGATCACAACTCTGCAAAATTGTGCACGGGAATCTGTTTCGAGATGGTCGAAGTATCTTGAAGCCTTTGATCCATCCTTGAATTTCACGAAATCTGAAATATTTAATAGGTGCCTGGCCTGCTGTCTACTATCGGTAGTTTGGTTGTACATTATATTACCCTTCCATCATTCTAAAGTAGACGAGCTTCGTGGCGGGCAGAGATGATCGGGTGTTTGTTAACAACCATAAAATTAGGATCGTCTACTATACATTGAATATATAGATTCTCAAATGATCCTAATTTAGTTATCGGTTTCTCATGAATATATAGATTATATATACTAGGTTATAACCCGTTAACCCGTAGTCACTATGGTTGACAAATTAAAATAACTAGGGTTTGGACAATCCGCGCGTTGCTGCGGAAGCTCCGGTATGTTAAAAAACGCAGTTTGACACCATATATACAACGAAGACGATTAAATCATATAAAGTGGAGCACAAAAATATCAAAATAAAATATGGATACAAACAATTGACTTGAAAGTGTATCTTTAAAAAATTAATAAAAAAAAGATTATTAAAAAATTATATAAGGGACCAAAATGTAACTTTAAAATATAATAAGGGACCAAATTATAATGTATAAAATACTAATAATTTAACTTTAAAATTATAAGGGTTGAAACTGTTAAATAAAAATTAATTAATGAGAAAGAATATAAATATATATAAATTTTAAAATTATAAGGATAAAAATTGTAACATCAAAATTAGTTTAGGGATACAAAATATAAAAACAAATAAAAGTAAAGGGAGAAAAATGAAAAAAGAATTGAAATTATAATCATTTTGTTGGCTTACCTGGAATGAACAGTGAATCCTCTCACATACAAATTTTAGTAATTAATATATATATATAATATAGATAACAAAAATATAGTTATTAAGCATAAATTTGCAAACATTTTTTGTATACAATATTCCATTAAAACATTTCATTGTTCTAAGATTCCCAAATATAAAATATTCTTTTTACTAACTATTTTTCAACTAAATACTCCTTCCCTGTTCAAAATATTTATAAAAAAAACATTTTACCAAGTAGGATGGTATAAATGACAGTTTCTAGAAAGTAGAATGCTATAAAATAAGATGTTTTTAAATTTTCCATTCCATGTTGTAAACACTATTTTACAAAGTAGAATGCTATAAACGATAGTTTCAAAAAAATAGAATACGTTAGAAGAAAAAATTTATTTATTTATTTATTTTTATTTTCTGATCTATGTTTGAAATTGAGAAAAGTACATTTACAAAATAGAATGTTATTATGAAGGATTCCATAAATTATAAACTGTGAAAGTAGATGGTATTTCGTGTATTTACG